ATAAACTGAAAAACTTCGTCATATTATAGTTTCGCAAAACACTTAAATTTTCTTGATCAGCAATAAACGCTTAAATTTTCTTGATCAGCAATTGGACTCGCCTCCGATCTGTACTTAATATATTACCAGATGCGCCATCTCTTTTGCGCTCCCTCGCAGTTCAATTTTGTAAATTTAAGGAAAGAGTGAAGCAAAAAGTCACGCATGTAACCATTATAGAATGCAAAATATATTATGAAAATGGAAAATTTGCTGTGGGGAGGGGGCTAAAGAGCCGATACACCGCCTATATTTTTTCACCGGCGCCGTCACTAAGTATAAGCAATTTTCAAAATTAAATCTTACCTCAATTAGACATCAAATTTTCATATAAATTTAATGAAGCCAGGTTAAACTCAATATCAAAAAAATCAACTTATATGATACCAATGCAGCAGAGATTTAAATAAATAGCCTAATGTAGCCATAAAGATACTTATTCAATTTAAAACAAACAAATGTGACCGGATTTAAATTAAATGGAACTTACCTCCAATTTTAAATGAACGTTATCAAAAAAGCAGTACGCACAATTCTGATGGATTTTGTGACCAGCTAATAATCAATGCAATAAAAGCGTTCTGAAACGGAGTATATTTCCGAGAGGAAATCCGGATCTTTGGTTGCGTAAAAAATCTTTTATGTCAGAATAAAATATGGCATAGTTGTGACAAATAGATATCTGAAGACAGCTAGAGAAAGTAAAAATAGAGAAAAAAGAAAATCTGAGAAGGAAGGAAGCTGTTTTTTTTTCGCATAAGAAACTGTTCCCTAAATTAAATATGACCCAATCTCTTTCATTCTTTATTTTATCTTTTTTGGTTCATTTTTCTATTTGTTTTTCTGTGTGACGAAATTTCAGTTTGAAAAATGTCTGTTCAGGGCACCTGCATTATTTATGTCAGTTCAAACATGCCGAAAGTCAGATCACGTGGAAAGGCGATCGAGCAATTGTCCCTGCTAAAAAACAAAAAAAAATATCTAGCTGTCTTCTCAAAAACTGACAACCACATACAAGTAAGTTGTTATCCAAAAATAGCAAAAAAAAAACAAAAATCAAAGCAAAATGTGATTTTTGAGACTGAATCCAATGGGTAGTATCTATTCTTTTTTTGGGACTAAAAGAACCGTTGATAAATATGGACAACGAAATTGATACCCAAAAAAGGGAACTCAGTATTTTCAATGCAGAATGGATTTATATTAATCATCAAAGTTTTCCGATAAAAGATGATTGCTTTTCCAACTTTTTCTTTCTGGCCGGCCTAAACTAATCGCTTTTAACTTAAAAGTTCAATCAGGTCAGCACAGCACATCATGGTAACTAAAAGAACTACAAGTTGCTGGTATCAAGGCAAAGCCCTGAATGTTCCGACTGCAGCTAAAAGTTTATGCAGTAATTTAGATAAAAATTGGTTTGTATAGTCTACAAACTGATGAAACTACAAATTAAAGAACAATTGAAAATATATATATTGTAAAATCTTCCTCCGAAGCATAAAAATATGGTCTTTACATGTTAAATCAAACAAGTTTGCCTTATGTCATTTTGGAGCGCTTTCCGTGTCGGAATAAATCGCCGCTCATGCACGTTAATAGCACTGCTTACATCTCGCGCTAATTGTCATAAATAAGCCGGGTTGGCAATTTTTTTAGTCAACCAGTCCGGAAGCCGTCTTACCCGGAATTTTATTATTTTTTAATATGACAAGAGCGCATATAACCAGCGCCCTTTGCGCTATGAATTTCTTGAGTTCGCCTTGCAAAAGACAGCGCACGCGCAATTTGAACCAGCTATTAAACTATTGTTGCGTACCATTACTACCGGATCGTCGCACAACAATAATCACAGATAACTAATCAATGATATATATTTTTTTAAATCTGAGTTCAGGACGTCAATAATTTTCAAATGGTATTCAAAGCTCCGTTCAAATGAGGCTTGTTAAAGTCGAATTTTGTCAGAAGAAAAACCACTTCTAGCAAAAAAGCTAACATTTCGAAAAAGTTATTAAGCAGCAAAGTAAAATTAACAAAATGTTCGCCAATGACTTACCTAGGAACCGGTTTAGGGGAGTGTGCGCTCAATTCTCTTCAAAAATTTGACACCCCCAGCTTTTGATACTAATGCATGACTATGGCCGGTGCTCGTTTTGGCCGGCCATCGCACGTAACGGCCTTGCGGTCTTAATTTGTTTGGCGCCAATAAAAGAAAGGAAGAAGAAGATTGGTTTCGAGTGTGCAATTACAATAACTTCTATGTAGAATCTTAAAATCTCGATGTATATAGATTGAGCTCAAGTAATTGAGCTCAAGCAAGCAGCTAAGAACTAAAAAACTAGAAAACTTAAGGTTATAATGAAAAAACATGTTAGGACATTATGATCAAAAGTTTGCGAATTGCCAAAAAAGCAGTGAACAAAAAAAGACTTATAATAATTATTGACTTGCAGGTGGGGGATAGGGACTTGATGATAACAGAGCCTTCTGTAATCACATGGGTTCATCACACGGAGGGACTTTTTCTAAAAATTTTGATATTAAGCTAAAATCAGCAATTTATAAATTGCTAGACGTTACTACAGTCACTGGACTTAGAAGTTGCAAATTTTTTTATATCAGCTATCAAATGAACAAAACTTTTTCTTACGCTGTGGCCGTTTCCTTTGCAATTTTTTAAGATATGCGTTTGAAATTTTGACAAAAGCTAGATGAAACTAATTGAAATGGCCTAGCCGGGCAAAAATTTGAGAAATCTTTTTTTGAAGGCGTATCTTAACCAGTATGTCATTACTAGTTCTGAAGGTATTCTTGCTGTGGAAATACCCTTGCAAACAACACTAAAGAATCGATGTTATGGGCTCATAACAATTCTTTGGGAAATAATTGAGCTTAACGTACTGTTTATGCCGCTGAAAAAGAAAAAATGACAAATAACATAATTGAAGGAGTTACTTGGTTCGGCGCCGAAAAACGGTTAAATCTGTTTTGACGACACATGCATTAAAAATGTTTGGGAGCTCATTTCAGGAATTTGGACAAAGATTACTCACAACATAAGTGCTGACAAGAACAGTGTAAATAGATTGAAGCAGTAACTTTTCTATTTCCTGGAACGGCTTTTTTGTTGACCTATTTTGATCATCAGTGCAAAAATATTCGTATAAATTTAGAGTTTTTGTACGCCAGACCAAGTTTTTTTTTGAATTTTTTTATCTTTCGTTTTTTGGGGACATAAAGAGGAAACCATTTATTGCGCCCATTTTTAAACTTTCTTAAATCGTTTGCGACAATATTTCGGCAGCAAGAATGCTTATAAAACTAGTTATGACATACTGACTAATCTACACGTTCAAAACAAGATTTCTCAGTTTTTTGGTTAAATTAGCCAAATAACTTCATCCAACATATGTCAAAGTTTTTTTCGTATATCTTAAATAGTTGCAGAGAACGTGATAAAAAACGTGACGGAAATTTTCGTTCTTTTGATTGTTGAAATCAAAAAATGTCCCTTGAACTGAAATGACCCTTGAGTTTAGAAGCTGTTGCTTAATCTCAAATTTAGTTCCATTCCAGGAGTATTGTTTGCGATAGTGCTACACAACTACTAATTTCTAGATAAAGTAGCAGTTTGCGCCCATTTACAAA